CGAGAACAAAAACGAGGCTCCAAGAGCCAAAACCATGGTCGTCTCCTCGCGGGCCGCCCCAGCGCAGGGGGGGGCAGGCCCGACGCAGCGCCGGCCTCGAGAGGAAGGCCTCCCCTCGGGCCGAGCCCGCCGCCCCGGCCCCCGCGGCCACCGAGGGACAGCGCGGGGGGGCGGGCGCGCGCACGCAGAGGGCGTGCTGCCTCGCGGGGCGGAGGGAAAGCCGCCGTCTGCGTCGCCTCCTCCCTGGCGATTCTACAGGGCAGTTTTTCTAACACATAGGATTTTAAAGTACCTATCTGATCTTTCACACATGACTGCTTTATGAACAAATGTATGCGTGAACTCCTCGTTGTTTTGAATGCTTCATCCCTGCCTGCTTGATACACGATCCGCACGCGGAGCATGTAATAACAACGGCACTGTATCCTGCAGGCGAGCGCAGGCAGTCTCTCACTTCGACGGGGCGCATCACTGCCGGGCTGCCCCGCCGCTACGTCGACGGGAGGCGGGAGCGTGGCGGCAGACCACAGATGTTTATGCACCTCTGCGCGAGCTGGCCGCTGGATGGGCGCCCGAGCTCGATCGCCTCCCAGTCGATCAGTTTCCCGAATTGCGTCTTGCGTCCCAGGCATGGCAGCGACAGTTCTCAAAAACTTCCACCAACTGAAACCGACGGAGCGACGTCGTCGGTGTTGCATGGTCGTCCTCGTCGTCGTCCTCGTCCTCGTCGTCGTCGTCGTCGTCGTGGCCGCGCCCGTGGTCATGGTCGTGATCGTCGTCGCCGATGTGGTCGTCAAAACTACTGCTCGACAACAGTCAACAAAGAACTGACGAACATCGCATTTCATCGAACATCGTCGAAAGCTCAATTGAACGTCGACGGGAATCGACAAACAACACAACGAAATTCAAGCTTCGACTGCAGTCTACGGAGAATTGATACAGATCGAACGTTGACGAACAACACCGCAGCGAAACTTTAACGTCGACGCACACCGACTAAACATCCACGAACAACTTCGCATGCCATACTTCCTCAGGCAGCAGACGCCAGCGAGGCCGAGTACACATGCAAGAGAAGAGTTCAAGGGGAGGAGGAGGAGGAGACGGAGGTGGAGGAGGAGGACAAGGCGGGAAACCTGAAAGGGGGGCCCGCACGACCACTGCGCCCCAGACGGCTGCGGCGCGGGGAGATCTCCTTTGAGAATAGGAACGCCCGAGATGTTGACGACGGCAAGTGGGGGCTTCGAGCTCGGCGGTCTCCTGAGTGATGGCAGCGACGATGCAGAAGCCACCAAAAGCTACCACAAACGATGCAGAATTGGGACGCCCGAGATTAACGAGGGCAAATGGAGGCTCTGAGCTCGGCGGAGGTCGAGCGGCATGTCTCCTGAGAGATGACAGCGACAATGCAGAAGCCACCAAACGCTTCCACGAACTCTATAGTGAAACACATGCATCTGGCGGTGGCAGAGGATCATTGCGGGAAGCCGACAAAGGTGTCATGTGCTCTCCAGATGCCCTCTCCTCATCCCACTGTCGTCGCTGTCATCGCCATTACCTCCCTCCTGCTGCCTATGCTGCTCCAACCTCCTCCCTCCTGCTCCTCTCTCTCCCATCCTCCACCTCCGCCTCCCTCTTGCTGCGCCCTCCTTGCTTCTCCATCCGCTGCTCCCCACTTGCTGCACCCGCCCTCCTCCTCCCCCCCTGCTGCACCTCCGTTCTCCCGCCTCTGCCTCCGTCCAGCCTCCCCTCTTCCCTCCTCCCTCCCTCCCTCCCACCTCTATCTTTAAATCTGGCCTGTCCCCTACAGGGGGATTTTAGACGAAAAAGTCAAACATACACCCTAAATGGCAAAACAATGCTCAACAAATCGTCCCCAAACTACTGTTTGACTACTTTTGAAAACTCAACCTCTAGAGGGACAGGCCCGACTTAACTCTATCTCTTCCCTCCCCGCCTCCCTCGTTCAGGCCGCTTCCTCACGGCGCCCGTCACTTCCGCATCCCCCAGTCCTCCAGTACGTAAACATGGTTTCTCCCTGCTGCGCCGCCGGGCGTGTCGGCAGGGCAAGCTGGGCGTGTCGCCAGACGCATCCCCACACTTGATGCTCCTGAGGCTGGAGTAGGGGGCCACATGCGAACCCTACCCCTACCCCCCACGATTTCTGAGTGGGAGGGTGGGGGTCACTTCGTGGGGGGGTATGGGTAGGGTTCGCATGTGGCCCTCTTTATGGAGGGTTACAGCATACAGGCGGATGGAAGGCGGCTCCTGCTCTAAATTGGGCCATCGCCTTAGTGCCACGCGCAATCGCCACGAGAGCCCGCAGCAATCACAACAATGTATGGGGGGCGGTCAAAGCGTGCATCTCGCCTTAGAGTCGCGCGCATTCGTGCTACAAGTTTGCAACGCTCAGAGAGATGGGGCGTCTACCTTTGCAGAAGTTGGCTCACGCCTAAACGTCGCGTAGCGCATGCCACAGCTACAATGATAGAGGGCGGTGCGTCTTCAAATCATACGTTTCGCCTTAGCGCCGCGCAGATCATTCTTGAACACGTGCCACGCTTACTACAAAGATGGAGGGCGTCACGTTTCAGTTTTAGGGTTTCGCCACAGCACCGTGTAGGTTCGTCTTGAAATATGACCTCAGGCATTGTGTCACTGGCGCTCTATATTGCGCAAAATACCTTGTGCCATATATTATGTAGTGCATGAGCGTGGGGCAATCTACGTGGTGCAGTTCACCCTTCCGACCTTGAGGTCGTCAACTCCGCTGTTCGCGCAATCATCCCACCCACCCGCAACATGCGCCCCCCGCCCATCTTGGCACGCCCCTCACACGCTTCGCGGCACCTTAGGGAGCTCCACAGAAGGCCGCAGTGGCAGGAATCACATGCGCCACCCCGTGCGCATTCTGGCACGCCCCTCGCACGTTTCGCGGCATCATAGAGAGCTCCGCCGAAGGCCGCAATGAGAACAATCACGTGCGCCCCCCCCCCCCGCCAATTTTGGCACGTCCGTGATATGTTTTGCAGCCCCACAGGGAGCTCCAACCAAGGCCGCAGTGGCAAGAATCACATGCGCCCCGCCGCTCATTTTGGCATGCCCCTCACACGCTGAGATGCCCCATATGGAGTTCCACCGAAGGCCGCAATGGCAGGAATCACATGCGCTCTCCCTGCTCATCAACTGCATATGGTTGGGTCTATCGCCAAACGAATGTCATACCGTTCTTCAACGGCTGGTGCATTGAGAGCGACAGCACTTGTTTGGCTTGCACCTTCGCCTGGTGTCGGGGAGACTCAAGACTCGAATTTGCATGGCGGTGCCGCCACTGAAACGGCGGGCTCAGATGTGACATTGACGCGAGCTCCCGCTGCAAACGTCCAACGATAATTTGACCGTCGAACATTAGTACCCGGACCGTCAACATTCGGCGGCGAACCTCGATCACGGGCGAACTCGAGCTCGCAGCTTCCCCTGCAGACGTGCCAGGAGTGCCCAAGATTCCCTCCCGAAACAAGGATCCTCAACACGTCAAGCCCGATCCGACACTTCTAATCAGGAAGCCGGCGGGTGCCGAGAAGATCCCAAGTTGCAGAGAGAGGCGCGGTTGGCTTCGGAGCCCTTGTCGTAAACCCTTTCGGAACCTGGCCCCCCCTCGCAGTATCGAGGAAATGCATGGGCGGCCCTGTCAGACCTTCCTCTCAGGAGCAAGCTTAAGGGAGAATCGTGTACCTATACACTCAATGTGTCAATGACTGTCACTTCATCTTTTCTCCCGCAGATGGTTTCTTACGCATCGTATTTTAACACATGGTGTTTCATGCGCGGGTTGCCGACAGGAGCGCTGTTGGTGTTTGTTCCAAGCGGTGATTTCGTTTAAACTTTGGCCTCGTTTCAGGATCGGCGCTGTGCTCTCGTCGTTCAGAATGTTGCGCTCGCCCCAGCGCGGGCCAATTTTGCGGATCCGAGATCTCCCTTGTCGCTGTCGCCCCCCGCATTTCACTCCTCCGCCTTCCACTGATCCTTCTGTTTCACCCGCTCCTCCTGCTCCTGCTCTTCTTATCTGCATAGATCTGCTACCGCGACTGCACGGGGTGGGCTGGTTAGAGTGCTCGTCTGTTGTATTGGAGGTCTTCTAATCTGATCCAGGCCCAAGGGGCTCCCAAGCTAGCTCCAGGAGAGCCCATGAGCCCCCTAACAAAGCCCCGAGTCGACCCAGAGAGGCCCCCAGGATCGCCGAGGAGGCTCCGAAGAAGGCCCCAAGACGGCCCCAAAACGGTCCAAGATGCACCAAGACAGCCTAGAGGAGCCCCCAATACGGCATCCGAAAGAATCAGACGGGCCAATCGCCTCCCTAAGACGGTCCAAGAAGCCCCAGGAGGATCCCAAGAGGTCAAGGACCCCAAAGAGGCTTCCCAGGCGGCTCCCGGGAGGCCCCCAAGAGGCCCCAAGAAGCTTTCTCCTCATCGTCCTCATGTTGTCTCCCTCCTCCTCCTCCTCCTCCTCCTTCTCCCCCCATACCGCGCTGACGAAAACGATGTTGGAATCACGACCGTCCCTGTTCAGACCACTCGCTGAACTGCCGAGGGGTGTGAACTCGACCTCCTTCTGACCGCGCGGACGCAGACGAGGTCGAATTCACGACCCATCCTTTTCAGACCACCCGTCGGAATTGCGCTGTTCCTGCACTCAGTCTCCTTCCTGCAGCGCTGTTGCAGAGGCACGGTGGCGGGGATTGCCGCATTTGCACTCGATCTCGAGCCAAATTTCGGGCCCTGGGACAGGCGAATAAGGCCTCAACATGAAGAACGGGTTCCCGAACACCGGAATCGAATCGAGTCGGGTTGACCAGAGCCGCTATTGATAGAATCGGACCGATCGCATCGAACTGGATCATCACTGCGCCACTTTCCACCCGACCCGAATCTCGACGACGACGACGACGACGACGACGGTCACTGACGGCGACGACAACGACTGTGACCCGCGGCGCACCGTCTCCAGCTGCGCCGCGAGGGCCAGCTGCATGGGGTCGGCGCCGGCGGCGATCGCTTGCGCGTACTGTGCGGGGCGGCGGGGGGGGCGCAGAGCCAAGGAGGGCAGAGGGGAGGGGATGCACGTCGAGCCAGGACAGGAGGAGAGGGGCGGAGGAGGAGGAGGAGGAGGAAGGGAGGGAGCGAGGGAGGGAGATGGAGGAAGACGGGGGGAAGCGTGAGGACGGCCAGGGCGCACAGCCTGTCGCGCAGGCATCGGCCCCATCCAGTTCCCTCCTGCTTAGCGGCTGCGCTGCACGCAAGAGTTGACCTACGCAAAAAAAGAGTGACCGTTGGGGCGTGTCGATCGTTGCATGCAGTGCGTGCTCAGGCTTGCCCGCACCCCGTGCTCCGAGAACTGCGCACACTCGAAAGGCCACTCCAGCGAAGGGCTACTCTCAGTTACGCGCAGCCGAGCTCTGCCGATCGGTCGCTTCCCACTTGCCCTCCCTGCCTGCTCGCTTTCTTCCAGTCTCCCCCGGCGTCGGGACGAAGGCAAAAACAGCTCAGGGGCCTCGAGCACTGGCCGACACGGCCACAGCGACAGCGACCGACAGGAGGAGGGGCGGGAGAAAGCCCTGGCACGCCATCGCGAAGGTCCCCGTGCTGGTCTCTCGTGTCGGGCTCTGGTAGGCTCTGGCTAGCGTACCCTCTCTCCCCTAACCCCTGGGAGCGGCCGCCGTTCGGCGTGTCGCTCCTGGTGGGAACCACCTCGTTTGAGTGGCGGTTGGGGGAGACGCCAGCTCCCAATCGCCGTGCCCTGCCAACCGGACACGCGGCCCGCCAGAGAAGGAGGAGGATGGAACAGGTGAGGGAAAGAAGGACGAGGCGAGCAATTAATGGGGCGACAGAGGGGGAGGAGGAGGAGTAGGAGGAGAAGGAGGAGGAGAAGGAGGAGGAGGAGGAGGAGGAGGAGGAGGAGGAGGAGGAGGAGGAGGTGGTGAAGGAGGGAAACCGGTGTAAACCCAAGGCGTACCACAAATGTTGAATTAAACCCTGGCTCCAGATTCCCTCTTCACGGGTCCCTGCCAGAAATCACTTTCACTAGTAGGAATGTCCCGTTGCAAGACACCAGTCTGAGAATCCTAGTCCCAAAGCGCCACTCTTCGCAAGTCAACGCCGCGCATCAACTTTACTGTTGCGTCCTGGCGATCCTCCATCGTGCCAGAGCACCATTCCTGGGAAGTCCACCCTCTGAGTCCATGTGACTGTTGCGCCCTCTCATCAATCTTGCAACGCGCCAGAAGACCATTTCTGGGACGGCAGACGAATGTGCGCGGCACTGGGGCGAGACCCACATTTTGAAAACAGCCCCCCCTCTCCGTCTGGGAAGCTCTTGCAACCTTTTACAACGGATGCCCACGGCGCTAGAAGGATTCACCACATCTTGACAACAACTCGCCATCCATCCGCCAAGCTGCTGTAGAATGTTGACAACGAATGTGCGCGGGGCGAGAGCGAGAACAAACCATTTCTTCTCGCCCTAGCCCCGCGCAGATTCGTTGTTCTAGCCCCACGCAAAGCGTGTCGTTTGCATTACAACCTCTCGAAAACGAGACGCCTTCGATCCGTGAAACTCTGTTGGCAACAAATCTACGCGGCGCTGGGGGCGAGAACCAAGTTTTGAAAAGGCACCGCAATCCATCTGTGAAGCTCTTGCAAGCTTTTGAAGCGAATGTGCGCGGCACCATGGCGAGAAACACATGTTGAAAGCGACCCGCCCTCCATCTGTGAAGCTTTGCAACGTTTGAGCCAAACATGCGCGGCGCTGAAGCGAGAACCACATCTTGAAAAAGACCCACCCTCCATCCGTGAAGCTCTTGCTGCACACTTTTTAAACGAATGCTCGCGGGGACATGGCGAGAGACACATTTGGAGAAGGAATCGGTCTCGGCCAATGAAACACAATCTTTTAGGACGGCTGTGTGCGGCGCTCATGCGAGAACCACATGTTGAAAAGGATCCGCCTTCCGTCCGTGAAGCTGCTGCAAATACTACACTTCATGATCACAATTTGTGAGGACGTCTCGGGCGAAATGCCCAGCCCGCCCTATCGACGTGTCTCGGGGTGCGACAGGGAGGAGTTCCTAGCAAGGAAGCGGAAAAGGAATGGAGGAGGAGGAGGAGGAGGAGGAGGAGGAAAAAGGGGAGGCGGAGAGAACAAAATTGCAGTGGAGACCTCCTGTGGGACGACGCCAGGCTTGCACCTGCGCCGCTCCAAACCGAGGCCGCGGAGCCAGGATATCGGAGCCGCCCTCCTGCCCGGCCAGGGGCGGCCAGATGAAGGGGCCTTGGGACACACAAATGAATATACGCAAATGACAAGATCCCAGTATATTTTCCTTTACCTTCTGGGTCTTTGTCTCCCCCCCACCTCCCATATTTTCTTATACTTTCTGGGGAATCGACGATGAATTGTGTCTGTGTGTTTTTCCCCTCCTGAAGATCTGGCCGCCCGCCGCCTTGGCCAAGATCGGCTGGCGGGCGCCGGTGTGCCGCCGGCGTGCGCGGCGGCCCTGACGAGGACGGCACGGAGGCCGCATGGGCACGGCGACAGGACGGGTTCCCGCAGCCCTCCTCCTCCTCCTCCTCCTCCTCCTCCTCCTCCTCCTCCTCCTCCTCCTCTCTTCTCCTCCTCCTCTGCTCCTCCTCCTGCTCCTCCTCATATTCCTCCTGCTCCTCCTCCTCCTCCTCCTCCTCCTCCTCCTCCTTCTCCTCCTCCTGCTCCTCCTCCCCACCCGATCGCCAGCTGCGGACGTGCATCGGCCGAGATCCTGGTGTTGCAATTTTGCCACCGCCGGCGTTCTTCGCCCCTCGCGGGCCCCGGCCCTCGCCAATCGGCCTTGCCCGAAAACAACTGACGCAGACCAATGGGGTCCAGGGCTCCGGTCGTGATTCGTTTTGCTCTGCTGCAGTGTTTTCGCAACGTTGGATCTCAGGGTCCTCCTTCCCTCCTCCTCCTCCTCCTCCTCCTCCCCCTCCTCCTCCTCCCCCTCTGCCGCATCCTCAGCCTCTTCGCCCTTCTTCCCCTTATCTGTTCCCTCCTCCTCACCCCGGTCGTCGAAAAACATCCTCGCCTGCCTCCTCCCGCTCCTGCTTTCCGTGCACCCGATCGGGACCAAAAAAGGCGGCGGCAACGGTAAACGACGTCGCGCAAGGGAGGGGGGGGGCGGCGTGCCGGGTTGCTCATGTCGGAGAGGTCGCCCAATACAGCAGTGGCTACCGACGGATCCAACACGGCCGCCTCGAGCCGCGCGAGGCGGGGGGGGGGGGGGGCACGGGCGAGGAGGGGGCCTCCTTCCCGTGTTCCTCCGCCCTCCTCCCCCTCCCCCTCCTCCTCCTCCTCCTCCTCCTCCTCCTCCTCCTCCTCCTCCTCCTCCGCCTCCTGATGCCCCCCTGCTCCCGCCGCAAAGGGGAAGGGAGGACGGGGGCGGGCGGACAGGGAGAAGGACAGTGGGGGGTTGGGCCAGCGAAGTGGCAGGACGAGGCATACCCAGAGGAGGCTGAGGATGAGGACGCGCTGGAAGGAGGACGAGGAGCAAGGAGCATGTGGATGGTCGAGGAATCGATTGGGGAGAACGGATTCGATAACAAAACGTACGATACTTACCCATGATCACTCCGTGCCCAGCTGCACGGCTAGCGCTCTTGCACACAAGTGCGAAGACACTTGTCATGCACGCGTGAGCTGCTGTTGAGCTTTTGTTGGCCGGTGCCGATGCACTTCAAGCACCAAACCGAGAAACGGATCGAGTCCACTCCGCGGGCGTCTAGACGCCAGAAGAGCCCGGCGAATTTCCACTCAGCGAATGGAAACGCCACTGAGCCTCCTGTTCAGGTGGTGAGCCCACTCCGTGGTGGGCATACTTGAACGCGGATATCACCAGGAGAAGCGGCGTGACTGGAACTCACGAGCACGCCTGCGATCAAGCGTAGACCGTCTCGGTACATATCCAGCACGATGCCGTACGTGATAATCAATACAAGTATCCCTAACCCTAACCCTTTGGGAGTGACCTAAATTAGGAGGGCCAAAACCATGAGGGAGAGGGGGTCTTTTTCTGCAGATGCCTCAAGCCAACCCGCTCAGTTGTGTTCTCCCTGATGCGAAAACGGGGACGTCAGTGAGACCACGTCTTCATCGTGTCATCAGGGTTCGGCGGTGGACAAACCTCCCTTTAGTAAACCTTCTCTTAATGAAAACGGCCTGAAACCGAAACCGACGGACCTGGACCCGCAAAATGACGGCCGCGACGCCCTCTCGCGAACCGAAAACGGCCAATTCACTAATCGACGTGTCAGGGTAGGAGGTCTGTCCACCCCCGAAGGGTTAGGGTCTCTCTTGTCCCCGAGGAGTACGCACCGAACGGGGTCTCCTCGGGCCCCTTCGATGTCCTGCAGCTTCCGAGCAGAGGCCCGCCGGACAAGGGGGCCCGGAGCCCCGAGGCCCCCATGGGGATTCCTGCGCGCTCCGGGGCACCGCCGCGCAACTCCTCCGGGGGCCACGGGAGCGCAGCGCTGGACAGGCGTCCCCGACGTCCGGCTTTCGCGCGCGCTCCAGCATGGATCAGGGATGCGTGGAGCCGGTTCGCGGGCGCCAGATCCACGGATCGGGGAAAGTACCTCACCCATGCATGGCGCCGATGCCGCCTCACTCGGCGCCGCGGCGCTCCGATTGCATACGGAGGCGGGGCCCGTCGCCAATCCACGTGCCCTAATCCGTGTGTTTTTTTATGTCCCCGAAGCATGCCCCAGGAGTGTCCCTGGGGCTCGACGGGAGCCTCCCTGGGGGCCCCCCGCGGCCGTCTGAGGAGCCCTGGGGGCCCACCCAGGAGGTCAAGCGAGTCCAGATCTGTCAGGCTGTGTGCAGTTCTCGCGCATTCGTCGTTTCCGCCTGGAGAGCATCCAAGACTCGGGCGTTGGTAGAACTGGGTTTAGTGGAGCCTGGTTTAGTGCTCTGTACCGGGGGCGCCCCCCCGTCCCATCTCCACTAACCGGACCTGCCGTCACCCGAAAAAACACCAGCTATGGCAAACCTGGTTTGGTGATTCTGGCCAATTCGAGGGCTCCGGGGCCATACCACTAACCGGGTCCCCTCACCCGGGGTCCTGGCCATACCCGAAAGACGGCCCACAAGCTGACCCAGATCACCCGGAGGCTGCCGAGGAGCCCGCAGACAGCACCCCAAGGCGGCCCCAAGAGGGGAGCTCAGACTACATTGCAGAGCCAGCCCTCCGCTCGGCGGCGGCGAGCGGAGGGGGGCAGTGAGACGGAGAAGGCCCTCCCCGCAGGCCGGCGGCACTCCTCCGTCCTTCTGGGATGCTGTCTGACTACCTACCAGACCACCCCAACCCAACCCGAAGACCCGAATTTGACCCGAATTTCGGGTTGGGGGGGGTAGGCGTTCCATGTGTTTTTTCAACGTTCCCCGACCCCCCCCACTGGAAATGGAGGGCAAATTGAGGCCTTCGGGTTGGGTTGCGCTGGTTTGAGGTGGTGACTTTCTGCGTCCTCGGGGAAGGCTCAGAGAACGGTTCTCGGAGGGCCAGGGGACTGCCAAGCCTCTCGGAGGCCCGCCCCTTCTCACTTCCCCCCCCCTCGCTGGCCGCCGATCCGCCCCCAAGGGGCCCCCCTGGGGCCCCCCGAGGCGCCCCACCAAAGTGCCGTCGAGATGCCCCACGAAGGACGCCCCGAAGGGGGCCTCCGCGAGAGGCCTTAACATCCGAGCCGGCTCGATCTGTCAGGGTCCTGGGCTCCAGAACTTTGCGAACACGCCCTCTGCGAAAATTGCCCAAGACGTACCTACCCCCTTCTCCACGCAAGGCGACTTTTAAAAGAAGTGCTCTTTCCATGCGAGCAGTTGAGAGATGGGTCGCACTCTTGCGCACGAAGATGCCGACAATTGTGCAGCTGGCAGCCTCGCAGGGAGCCGCGAGGTCTCCTCTGGGTGAGCGGGGCTCCCGACTCCGCTGGACTTCTCAGGAGGCCACGACAGTGGCTACATGTGCGCAATTCGCAGCGTGGTCCCGCCTGGGTGCGCCTGGCCCCCGACTCCGCTAGATCTCCCAGGAGCCCACGAAGATAGTGACCCTTGCGCAGTTCGCAGCCACTCAAGAAGCAACGAACTCCCCGTCTGGGACTGCGTGGCCACTGGCTCCGCTGGACCTCCCAGGAGCCCATGAAAGACAACTGCGGAGTTCGCAGCCACCCAGGGAGCAACGAGGTCCCGTCTGGGTCCGCGCGTGGCCTCGCTGGACCTCCCAAGATCCCACGATGTGGACGACGATTGCGCAATTCGCAACACACTCAAGGAGCACCAAAGACCCGTGAGGGTGCGCGTGGCCCCTGACTCCGCTAAAAAAAAACCAATTGCGCGGTCCGCAACCGCCCAGGGAGCAACGCTTTTCCGTCTGGGTCCACGTGGCCCCCGACCTCGCTGGACCTCCCAAGAGCCCACGAAATGGGTGACGACTGCGCAGGACGCAGCCACCCAGGGAGCAGCAAGGTCCCGTCTGGGTCCACGTGGCCCCCGACTCTGCTGGACCTCCCAGGAGCCCACGAAAGTGGCGAAAGGTGCGCAAGACGAAGCCATCCAAGGAGCAGCGAATGAGGTCCCGTCTGGGTCCACGTGGTCCACGACTCCGCTGACCTCCCAAGGGCCCAAATGGGCAGCAATTGCGCAGGACGCAGCCACCCCCCAGTGTGCAGCGAAGTCCCGTCTGGGTCCACGTGGCCCCCGACTTCGCCGGACCTCCCGGGAGCCCGCAAGAGTGGCGACCGTCGCACAGTCCGCAGCCACCAATGGGGAGCAGCGCAAGGGGAGACAGGGAGGCGAAGGGAGGCGGGAGGAGAGGACAGGCGGGAGCCACAGGGCTCTGTTCGAAACGGGAGCCCAACACGGGAGGGGCTGGGATAAACGGCAGCGCCAAGATCTCCGGGTTGAAAGACATCATAATTATGGGCGGAGATCCGCCTCCACTCCCAAGGCCGGCGAGCGAGACCCTCGCTGGCGGAAAGGTCTCCAGGCAATCCACCCTCGCGGCTGAAGGGGCCCAGGGATCTACAGCTAGACAGACACGAGGCCCAGGATCCCCCCATCTTTTCCTATATGTTCTGGCCTTCAGCTTCCGTCTTCCCCCCCCCAATTCCCATACGTCCCCATCTTTTCCTGGGAATCGACGGCTCATGGTGTCTGTGTGTCTTCCCCCTCCCGGCAAGGCGTGGGGCGACGAGGGCCGCGGCGACGTCGACGCGAGCGGGCGCGAGCCGCACCGCCCATGCGGCTCCGGCCGCCCCGCGGGCCCCTCCCATTCGCCTGGCAGGTGGGGGTCAGACTACGGTCGGGAGCGGCCAAGAGGGGGGTGTCCAAGAAGGGGGGGCGCAGATCATGACTGGCGGCATGTGCGCGGCCCAGGTTGGGGGCCAGAGACGCAACAAAATAAGAAGAGGCGCCCTGAAATCCGGGGAAATATCATGGCCCGCGCCATGAGATCCACCCCCCCCTAGTCATCACCCCCCTCTTTGCCGCCCCCGATACGGGGAGATGTCCTTTGATGTTTGGTGCGGGAATGCCGCGCTTTCCACCGCGAAGCCATCGCAGCTCAAGAAACCCAGGGCACCCTGGAGGGGGGCAGGGTGTTTCGTGGCATGGTAAAACAGGGCTAGGATCAGGATAAATCGCTCCAGAGCGTTCCGGAGAGCTCTCAGAGCGTTCCGGAACGCTCTGGAGCGGCCGCGGCGCCCAATCCGTCCTCCAAACCCGCCGATCCTCAGAGATTCCGAATGATCCCGATCCGATTTTGTCCCGATCTTCGCGTCGTCTGACATGGGCCTCCCCTGACCCCCCAGAAGGCCGACCCCCCCTGGCAGGCGCGAGGGGCCACCCCCCCCCAAAGGGCGGGCTGCCCGGCCTGCGCCGACGAGGCCGCGCCGCTGGCCACGGCGGCGGCCGCGGCGGCCGCGGTCGCGGCCTTCTGCTTCTCGAGGTCTTGCTGGCCACGGGGGCGGGAGGGCGGACGGAGGGGGGGATCCAATCGGAGGGTGCAGTCGCCGCGGTTCATAAGAACGCGCGGTAAGGATGCAGGGGCCCTGGACGCCCGTTTCGAAGCTTCTCGAGCGGGGCGCGGCCAACGAAGGTGGCCAAGGATGGACCGAGGAGGGGAGGATGCGAAGGTAACCTTGGGAAGGATGCCCATCCACACCATGCGGGTTGACTGTCAGACGAAGCCAGGACGAGGATAACATCGGGCGAAGATAATTCAAGAATCTCCGAGGGCCAGCGGCTCTGGAGGATGTCTCGGGAGCCGCGGCCTTCTCAGAGCGTTCTGGAACGCTCTCAGAGCGTTCCGGGAAGCTCTGGAGCGGATTTGTCCTCGTCCTGGCCCCGTCTGAGAATGTGAGGCAGCAACTCCTCGGAGGTCTCAACGAGGACGAATAGCAGCCACTGAGCCCGATCAAGGGCTCCTTCTGCGGGAGGATGCCGGAACGCGCCGGGGATTGCTGCGGGGAGAACGGGGCGACCCCTGGCCTGCGAGAGATGAGAGGCCGAGCCTTCGCAGGTGTTCCTCCATGCCGGCTCAGCGAAATTTCACGGGGGCGCGGCCGTGCAAGGACGATCGAAGTCTCTTCCTGGCCCAAACGCTCCATGCGATTCAGGACACAACAGAGAACAGAGGGAGGCAGGCAACCCCATTGAAAACAACATCAGGACTCGATTCGCGTCAAGGGATGGGGCGCGGTGAACTTCGATGTAAAATATGTTGGCTGCAGGGAAGCATATGCATACGGCAAGTTCGTGTCGTGACAACCCCGGCGTTGGTTTTTGACACCGCGTGGATCGTTCAACCTTGAACGATCGGCGGCTTTTCGATCGCCCGATCGTTCCATATGGGCCGATTCTGGGCCACTGGCGGCGTTCAACCTTGAACGCCCGCGGCGGGGTCGCCGATGGTCGACACGACGCAAACCTACAGTATGCATGACACACATGTGCACATACACATCCCATACCACTCGCGATCGGGTGCTCTGGCCGGCAACGACGCGGCTCGGGGACGACCCCCGCTCCCCGGAGCTCCGACGTCGCGCGGCCCGGTGCCATGGCGTGGGCCCCGGAGAAATCGCCCCCACCCCCCTGGGGGGGAACAGAAGGTACCTACCCACACCGCTACTTCCCAGACCTCTTCCGGGGTGCATGCTGACCAGAATCTCGAGGCGGATCCATCGGCGGCGACGAGGGCCCCCCATGAGGCCCAAGAAAGAAGAACACGCGGGAAGGGCAGCTATCTTTTCCTCCTCCGATTCATGATGCTATCAGGGTTCGGGGCTTTTGACTTCTGGAAGCCCCTGGATGCCCAGGTGGGGGAGGGCGGCGGTGGGGCGGCGCACGCAACGAGGGTATCCAGCGGTGGCGACGAAGGCCTCCCATGAGGCCCAAAAAGACGACAACAGGGCAACGGCAGCGGTATGGGTACCTTTCGGGGACCTGCAGGTCGAGGTCAATCCAGACCCGGGTCAATCAGGCGTTGCAAAATGCTGCAGGATGCTGCAGGATCCTGCACCCAGCCCCCCGGGTCGGGGCGCCCACGGCGCCGCAGGATCCCTGCAAGACCCGGCGCCCTGACTGACCCCCGCTTGCTCTGACCCCCGTCGCTTGTGCCCCGAGCCTCTTCCTACCCTCTGCCCTCCCCGGTGCCGGTCTCTTGCCGCAGGCCGTCGCCCGCGGGCCCCGAGGGCCAACGGCCCCCCGCAGGGGAGGAGATCAGGCAGCACCTGCCACCGCTCGGACGCCCATCCCCCGTGCACCTTTTTGTTGCGCATTCTTCTTCGGTCTCATGCGTTTGATCTTTCGCATGCTTATCGATGGTACTCGTCGTCGTCGTCGTCGTCGTCGTCGTCGTCGTCGGAGGAGGAGGAGGAGGAGGATGGGGAGGGGCAGGAGGGGAAGGAGGAGAAGTTGGTGGTGGAGGGGGGGGGAGGAGGAGGATGGGGAGGGGCAGGAGGGGAAGGAGGAGAGGTTGGTGGAAGAAAGGGGAGGAGGAGGAGGAGGAGGAGGAGGAGGAGGCGGAGGAGGAGGAGGAGGAGCAGGAGGAGGAGGAGGAGGAGGGCGGGGGAGGAGGAGGAGGAGGAGGAATTGGTGGAGGAGGGGGGAGGAGGAGGAGGAGGTGGAGGAGGAGAGGAGGAGGAGGAGGAGGAGGAGGAGGAGGAGGAGGAGGGAGGAGGAGGAAGGAGGAGGAGGAGGAGGAGGAGGAGGAGGAGGAGGAGGAGGAGGAGCGGAAAAACTCTTTTTCCCGGCAAACTCGACTTTTTCCCGGCAAACTGGACTGTTTCCCGGCGATCCGTTTCAGAAACATTTAAAGCTTTTGAAAAGCTTTACAGAGTTCCCTCCGACGACGGACCCTGGAACCTCCGACGCGGCCGCCTTGGGGCCTCCTTAGGCCCCCTTGGGGCCTCCTGAGGCCATCTTGGGGCCTCCTTAGGCCCCCTTGGGGCCTCCTTAGGCCCCCTTGGGGCCTCCTTAGGCGCCTCTTGGGGCCTCCTGAGGCGCCTCTTGGGGCCTCCTGAGGCCATCTTGGGGCCTCCTTAGGCCCCCTTGGGGCCTCCTGAGGAGCCGCTTGGGGCCCCCTGAGGCCTTCTTGGGGCCTCCTGAGGAGCCGCTTGGGGCCCCCTGAGGCTGTCTTGCGGTCTCCTGAGGAGCCGCTTGGGGCCTCCTGAGGCTGTCTTGCGGTCTCCTGAGGAGCCGCTTGGCCCTGAGGCTGTCTTGCGGTCTCCTGAGGAGCCGCTTGGGGCCTCCTGAGGAGCCGCTTGGGGCCTCCTGCGGCTGTCTTGGGGCCGTCTTGGGAGGCCTCTTGGGCCGTCTTGGAGCCCTCTTGGGCCGTCTTGGAGCCCTCTTGGGCCGTCTTGGGGCCGTCTTGGGCCGTCTTGGGGCCGTCTTGGGGTTCTCTTGGGCCCTCTTGGGGCCGTCTTGGGGGCCTCTTGGGCCGTCTCAGAGCGTCGGGAAGCCGAAAAGGCGAGAAAGCAAAAAACATCGAAAAACACAATGGGAAATCAACAATGTTAGCCTCTTGGGGCCCTCTTGGGAGGCCTCTTGGGGGCCTCTTGGGCCGTCTTGGAGGCCTCTTGGCCCGTCTTGGGGCCATCTTGGGCGTCTTGGAGCGCTCTGTGGGCGTCTCGGGCCCCTCTTGGGCCGTCTTGGATGCCTCTTGGGGCCCTCTTGGCACGTCTTGGGGCCTTCGTGGGCCCGAAAAAGTCACGCGGCCAGCTGCGACAAGGCCCAAGGCAGCTGCGACAAGGCCCAAGGGAACCGCGACAAGGCCCGGGAGATTTTGCAATTTGGGCTCTGGTGCCCTTAATGATTCCTCAGGAGCGAGGACTCAGGCTCAGGGGACGAGGCAGAGGACCTCAGGAAACGCCCACTCCGTGCCCAGAGGCACGGTGGCGGATAACCAGTAGTACGTCTACCTGGACGGTTTTTGACATCGCTTACGAATACTTCTGCTTTTACTACCACTAATCTTTCCACTACTACAACTACTATTCGTAATCTCACTATCCTTAATACAATCACTCCTAGTAGTACTAATCCACTAACCCTACTACTACTACTGCTACTACTACTACTACTACTACTACTACTACTACTACTACTACTACTACTACTACTACTACTACTACTACTACTACTACTATACTACTACTACTACTACTACTACTACTACTACTACTACTACTACTACTACTACTACTACTACTACTACTACTACTACTACTACTACTACTACTACTACTACTACTACTACTACTATACTACTATTACTACTACTACGACTACTACTACTACTACTACTACTACTACTACTACTACTACTACTACTACTACTACTACTACTATTACTATTACAAACACTGCGAGGAGTAGTGCTACGGCGAAGGCCGCACGACACAAGTCAACCACTGGACTCTTTCCCGGCTAGGATCTGCGCAGCGGGAGTTGGAGACCCTTAAGGTGATAGTGGGATTTTCGGAAATCCATGCTTCAAGCTTCCATACAAAAACTAAGCAAACTGGACTCTTTCCCGGCGGAGCGCCGGGCAAAAGTCCAGTTTGCCGGGAAAAAGCCCAGTTTGCCGGGAAAAAGTGGACAACCGGAGGAGGCGGAGGAGGAGGAGGAGGAGCAGGAGGAGGAGGAGGAGGAGGAGGAGGGAGGTCCTGAACTGTACACTCCCCTGGCCAAGGGGGGCCGGGCGGTGGCAGGCCGTGAGGCGTCCTCCGGCGGAGCGCACACGCGCCGCTGGCGCGCAGGACGGCGGCCGACTCTCAGGGAGCGGGGAGGGCTTCCAGGAAGGCAGGCAGCTGCAGCCCGTGCAGTACGACGAACCTAAGACGAGGGTAAAACGGGTACGGATAAATCGAGAACCTCTGTGATCCGGCTGATCTGGAGGCTACATCGGGCGCCGCGGCCTTCTCAGAGCGGAGCGGAACGCGGGCGCTCCGGAACGCTCTGGAACGGATTCATCCTCGTCCTAGCCCCGTCCGACCCTGGCCTCACAAAGCCGCGCGAGACAGGCACTCACCAGCGACGAACATAATTTTGTGGGGTCTGGATTCCGCGCCACTCACTCCGCGCCCTCGTGGTCTGGATTCCGGGGCGCGATCCGGCGGACACGCGGTCGCACGGTAAATTCCGCGCGAGGCATCCGCGACAAAAACGCTCCGTATCCGCGGGGTCGCGACCCAAGGGCCCGGCCCGCGAGGCCGCGCAGACGGGGAACCACGGGCCCGCCCGCAAAACTGTTTTGTGTGAAGTGCAATTGGCTGAGAAAAACCTCGGAATCGGAACCAATCCAAAACAATGTTAATCGCTCGTTCTGGGGGACTGCGCTCCACTCCGATGCTGCGCCGAACGCCCGTCGACTTGAGCCGAACCTGAGCCGGACTTGAGCCGACCTGGAGTCGAACTGGAGCCGAACCAACATCGAACAGATCCCTCGGGTGGGCCCCAGGAATCGAGTATGGGATCGGCTACAGAATTGATTTACCCCAAAACTTGATTTGTTCGCCGAATCCATGAGAAATGCGTAACGAGTGCTCGTAGATCTACGAACATTCTACGTCTGACTCGCCGAGGAAATCAAGTTTGGCGTGAATCAATTCTGTAGTCGATCCCCTACTCGAAGGAAGGCCCCTAACACGAACACCTGGCAATCGGCACCCCGGGCCCCAGACCCCCCACGCCGTGATTCTTGTCACAGCGTCAACTCCCAGAGCTCTGGACCCCTTCCCCAGGACCAACTTTTCACCCTGAGCAATTGTTTGACGGTCCCGAGGCCCGGCAAGGGCCCCCGCAGGCCGAAAATGGCAAGACACCTCCCGCCGTGATTCTTCTGCACGACGCGCAGGGGTCTGGGGCTGGGGCTGGGAATAGGAGGACAGGGCTCCCGGAGCCCGGTAGACGCCCCCGGAGGCCGAAGAGATCGAGAAACCTCCTGCCGTGATGTTTTTGATGGGCCTGTTTTCCACCACCACCACCACCATAAGTTGGAGGGGGAAGGAGGAGGAGGAGGAGGAGGAGGAGGAGGAGGAGGAGGAGGAGGAGGAGGAGGACCCCCTCCCCCTCCAACTTATGGTGGTAGTGGTGGAAAACAGGCCCATCAATTTTCACAACGCGAGGGTGTCTGGGACCCGCCCCGCGCGGCGCCAGCCTTCTCCTCCTCTGACATCTCCGGCTCCCTCGGCGGCGCCGGCGGCGGCGGGCCCTGAGCATCGTGGAACCGACCCTTATCCCCACATGCGTGGCCTGGGCCCGACTGGCCGATTCACCCCCCCTAGGTGGAGGGGTTGGGTTTTTCCTAAATCCCAACTGGGGTGCTGAGATGGTGGTGGTCTGGATGGGGATGGGGATGGGGACAAGGGTCGGGTCAGGGGTATAGGGACAGGGATGGGGCCGGGATGGGGACGGGGATAGGGGTCGGTTCAGGGACAGGGTGGGTGGGACAGGGTGGGGGTCGGGTCAGGGACTCAGACACCCGACGTCGTGAATTTTGTCACAACGTCGACTCCCAGAGGTCTGGACCCCTTCCCCAGGACCGGCTTTTCACCCTGAGTCGTTCTTTGACGGTCCCCAGGCCTGGGAAGGGCCCCCCCAAAAACGAAAATGGCACAAACCTCCCGCCGGGACTCTTCTCCACGACGCGAGGAGGTCTGGGGCCATGGGGCTGGGGACAGGGCTCGCTTCAGCTGAGCGCCGGCGGCGGCAGCCCCGGCAGCGCAGGCGCCAGCACCGGCAGCCCGGGTATCCCGGGCGCCGGCGGTGGCAGCCCCGGCGCGGGGGGCGGCGGCCCCGGCGCGGGCGCCGGGCCAGAGGCCGAGGCGGGCGCGTGCTGCTGCTGCTGCGGAGGCTGGGCCTGCGCGGGCGCTGGGGGGCGCGAGTGCTGGTGCGGGCTCGGGCAGCAGCCCCTGAGAGCCTGCTTGGATCGCCGCGGTGGTTGCTAAGGGGATAAAGGGGGTCAGAAGTGGATCTGCTAGCACTGGTTCGATCTGGCCTGGGCCTGGGCCAACATGTAAGTGGGTCAACATGTAAGTGCTGATGTAACTCCGCTAAGTGGGCTCAGCCCACTTCGCCAGATCTGCATGCCCTTACGCCACGTAGGGCACGTGCAACCCACTTCTAATCTAGGTTAGGCCAGATAGAACCCATCTCTTGTATCCCCCTATCCTCTTCGCACCCCCATCGACCATCCAAGTGGCGCGGGCATTTTCGCCCCGTTTCGGGCCCTGGGGGCCCCGGGACCCTTACAGATCGTTCCGGCTCAAGCAGGGACGGAGAAAGGTAGGGTCCAGGACTCGGGTCGTGTTTTTTTTTTGTTTGAAATGCTGCAATGTTTTCGCAACGCCGGATCTCAGGGCAACACAGCAGGAGTTGGCGGCGCGCACAACGGGGTAGGGGGAGGAGGGGAGGCTTCTTGGAAGGAGGCTGCTTCTTAGCAGGCGCAGGCCCTACATCTACAGATAGGGCCCGCGCCTCTTCTAATCAGCATTTTCTCGCCTCCCCCCCCCCTCTTCGCGTGGCCCAAAGAGGTGGCAGCAGCGGCTGGGGCCAGACCAGCACACCAGCAAAGCTCGCGCTGGACAGCGCCAGGAGGGCGCTCAGAGCTCGGGAGGGTTCTCTGCGAGATGCAGTGGGGGGCCTCCGTGGGACCCAGCTCGGAGTGGCGTGACGCAAGAGAGAGGGAGCGCGGGAGGGGAAAAGAGAACCATGGCAGGTGGATGGGGAGGGAGGTCTTTCCCGGATAGCTTTCTGAGGGCTCTGGCCATCGCTCGGACATCCATTTCCTGTGATTGTTTCGGTTTCGTGCGTGTTTTTTTGCGAATTGGTCAAGGATGCTCCTCGATGGTCCTCGCCGAAGGAAAACTGCACACGTCCGAACGATGCCAAGAGCTAAGAGGGTTACAGAGTAGAAGCCAGCAACGCAGGGCAGCCCCGGAGCCCTTCCTGGCGCCGGGCAAGGAGCTCGCAACGACCTGCTTGAGGTTGCAGCGTGTCCCGAGAACGTTCCCTTACACGATCCCAATGCGTGTCCCGGATGCGTTTCCGCAGCTCTTTCGAAGCTCTCTGGGAGCTCCCGCGAAGCTCCTTACTCGAGCATGCAAGCTCCCCGCACATCTTGTCAAACGTGCTTTTCAGGCGTTCCCCACAAGCGTTTCACGCGCTTTGAAAAGCGCCGCTATTTGGACACCACAAGTCACCGTTGCGTGCCATGACGGTAGTCGCTCGTCAGCGCGGCTCCTGCAACCGCACATCTGGGCTTCCCCAGCAGAATATCACCAATTTTTTGAAACGGAGGAGCTCATCGGCGACCAGGAGGCAATGACGCCTGCAACCACACGGTGTACACCCTTACTCTCTTCAGGCAACGAGACCAAGCCGCGAACTCACTGCGGGTGAGCGTCCAGTGAGAGGGACTCGCGCCACCGACTCCGACACCGACAGATGGCTGCGCAAACATGTCATGGGGCGAACGGACGCAGTGTAAACGGACTGACCGACCGAACGACTTGGCGGTGCGTCGGCGTGAACACAAGCTTGCATTGCATCCTCGGGGGACCTCGTCTGTCCCGTCGCGACCCTATCCGCGTCGAATCCGTGTCGAATCCATGTCGACCTCGTTGGATCCGTGTCGAATCCGTGTCGAATCCGCGTCGAATTCCCGCCAAATCCGCATCGAGGCCGCATCGAGCCCGCGTCAGGCACAAAACAAAACACCAATTTTGGGGACAGGCGGGGTCCCCCGAAGATGCAACGTGACACAGGCGGCAAGCCATGAGCAACGATTGCATCATGTGCGGTCGACGGAGAGCAAGCCAGGCGCGCTCCCACGCGGGAGGCTGTGCTGGGGACGCGCTTCGGGGCGCATGGCTGCTCCTCGTCGCTGCTCTCCGCCTTGAGAGGGGGCGCCGCCGCCCGCCCTGAAGCTCTCGGCTGAGCAGGCTGCTATTGTCAGCTTTCCCTTCGCGGCATTTTTGTCGCAATTGCCACCATCATCATGACTGGCCCCCCATTCTTACCATCCTCGTCGTCACGGCCATCTGGCTGTCGTCCTCATCGCAGCGGACCTGTTCACCACTTCGTCCTCGTCGTCCTGGTCATCCTGCTCCTCCTCCTTGCTCCCCTCTCTCCACCGTCCTCTCCCTCGCCGCTGTCTTCAACATTCTGCTGCTGCTGCTGCTTCTCCTCCCCCTGCTCGTCCTGGAGCTACAACCTCCTCCTCCTCCCTCCGATCCAACCCTGACCTTCCAGTGTGCTAGAAAAGAGCCCCCCAGACCTACAGACTTATCTGGCCTGCCTAGAACCTCGGCAGGAATTTCGATGTCAAGGTCTTGGTGTTACTTTCTAGCCCTCCTGGAAGGTCCGGGAGTAGCCCTCTCGTTTCCTGCGCCCAGGAAGGAACCGCCCCCACCCCCTCCAACCCTCGCAGCGAGGCGGGCGCCGCGCGACATCGCGCCTCCTGCCCCTGGAGCTCCTGGGTGGCCTTTTCGGCCTGCATGGCCAGGTCCCGGAGGTTGGCCATGAGCCCAGAGGACTCGCGGCAGCGGCGGCGGCGGCGCGGCGGCGGGCGTTAGCGCGGCCGGCGCCGGCGGAGGGGGGAGGGGGCGACGGCGGCAGCGCGCCGCAGAGAGGACGGGCGTGGGGACGGAGGCGCCGCCGTCGTCGTCGTGGACGTCGTCATCGTGGTCGTCGTCGTCGTCTTCGTCGTTCGTCGTTCGTCGTCGTCGTCGTCGTCGTCGTCGTCGTCGTCGTCGTCGTCGTCGTCGTCGTCGTCGTCGTCTTCGTCGTTCGTCGTCGGTGTCGTCGCGAGGCAGGCCGCGCGCCGTGGAGCGACGGAGCGCTGGCGGGGGGGGGCGCCGCGGACGGGCGTGGGGACGGAGGCAGACGCGGCAGCCGAGCCCCACGCCGCCAACCTCGGCGGCTGGGCTTCGGCGTCGAGGCGTCCAGGAGCCGGGGCTGTGCGCCCCGCGGGGATGGTCGCATGTTGGCCTCAGCGCTTCTGGCGCAACCCGGATCGGGGGGGGGGGGCCTGCTCCTCGGAGGAGCGCTCAGGTGAGCCAGACGCGTCCCGCTTACCCGTTTTAGAACAGCACATCGCGTATGTGTGTATATATATACACCATTTGAACTGACGATGCATATCCACATGCAGGCGGCCTGCGAACACCATGTGGGGGGCAATGTGAACACACGTGCTAGATCCGACGTGAGGAACGGCAAACCCAACACATGCGATCCAGCACATTGGCAACACGATGTCTAGTGAAGAAGCGTTTGACACAATTCGTACGCAATGAACAAAGAATGCCACGGCAAACTTCATATCAGATACTGAAGGACATTTAGTCATCTAGTTGTATCAAGACATGTATAGGACATGTGACGCATGCGGTCGAAAACAACACGTGTAGTCAAACCAATACGGGGAGGCAAGTTTTGCACGAGTTCGCTCGCAAGAGCAACGCAACACAATCTGAAGGCAGCTCGAAGGCAAGCTAAAGGGGGGCGGATCCCTAAGGCAAGAGAGGGGCCTGGAGAAACTGAGGGGCTGGGCAACACATGGAACGACTCTAAAAGAAATCATTGAGGGCATGCATAGAAGAAGACAAACACCATTAACATAAACTTTTTGGCGTTCCCCTCAGATTTCTTGGATCTGCGCTGGACCCCCCTCCCTGGCGCGCTCCGCGCGCCAGGGGCGGCGCCAGAGGCCCATCGCAGATCCACCCTGCAGCACGAGGGCCGCCCGGCGCGAGGCTTTTCGTGGCTGTCCTCACCATGTCGCCTCGTCGTTCGCTCTTCCCTCTCTGCGCTCGTGTCCTCGTCGTCGTCCCCTCCGAACCTTGACACCGACAAGAATGGTTCGGATGCTCATTCCATGGCTGGACCTAAACGTTGTTTTTCGTTTTGTTTTCGTTTCGCTCTACTGTTTTCCTCTAGCTCCCTGCCAAAACGAAAAACAAAACACAGCCGAAGTCCAGCAAAACAGCGTTTATGTCCAGCCCTGGCTCATTCTGGGGACCTTCCTAAAGACAATTGCTCCACTCTTGCGTCGAAGCTACGTCGAACGTCCGTCGATTTGAGTCGACCCTAAATAGAACCTGAATTGAACTTGAGTCGAACTTCAATCGTACCGGGATCGAAATTGAGTTGAACACATCCGTTAGGTGGGCCCCTGGAAGTTCCCCCAAACGAACATCCAAAATGGTAGACGCAAGTACTCTGGCAGCAACGCTGGACTCCGGTACTCGGGCCGATGCGGCCAACAGACGCGAAAACCTCCGCTGTTAGCTGTAGAGGCGATCCGACACAACTCCCGGGGGTTCGTCAAACTAAGATATCTGTGGAACAAACAACGGGACAGCCGCAGGCAGTCCCCCCAGGGGCGGGGTGGCTAGGTCCCCCTGCTCCCTGGCTGTAGCCGAGGGGGCAGCCAGGCTGCGCATCCGGGACCCTCGGGGGCAGCCGTCGTCGGTGGAGGTGAAGGTGAGGGAGGAGGACGAGGTCGACAACGATAGCGTTGGGACGTCGTACAGAAGATATTCCTCCTCCTCCTCCTCCTCTTCTTCCTTCTCGTCCTCCTCACGAACATCCGACCTAGGGAATGGGGTGGTATAGTGGAGCAGGTGATGCATAATCAGAAACTGTCGGAGGTCCAAACATACTTCGGCCCCTCTGGTCCCCCTGGCGGCGCCTCTGGCGCCGCCCCTGGCGCACTCCGCGCGCCAGGGAAGGGGATCCCGCGCCGATCCAAGAACTCCTCGCGCACCCATGACAACCAATGCTGATACATGCGTCCTTCTTCGATTCCTGGAGACGGATTGAATGGCAAGCCCAACACAAGACTACCTACCAGCTAACGCCCCCAGTCGCCCTTCCGCGTCTTGCGCCCATACTGGTCTCTTCTCAGCACTGGCCGCAGGCCCTGCTGCCATAAGGTAACAAGCCGTAGACCCTATTGCAATAAGGCAGCCAGCTCGCGGCGGGCGACAACGGCCCTCTCGCACGACGCGCCTCAGAACAGAAAGACGACGTGGACAGATTCCGTCGCCAGCGCGATCTTCGGAGCTGGGCGAGTTCAGACAACGGCAACTCGAATCGATCGCAGGACCCCTCCTGGGGCCCAGACGCGTCAGTTCGCCGAACTGCGTCCAGCCGAGGCGACGAGGAGGCCCCACGAAGGCTTATTGCGGCTGAACTAACCCTCCTCTGAAGTCGAATTTTGAGGGGCAACGAATGGGGGGACTGGCATAGGAAGGGACACATCGACCTGGCATCGGCGAACCATCGCCGATAGACCGGCGATAGGCCTCTGATTGTGAATCAGCACGTTCCAGAACAGGTTGAGGCTATCGGGCCCCATCGGCGATCAGTGGGCGATCCCCCCTATGCCCATCCCCCCTATCGTTGCCCCTGG